TACCCTGCCAAGTGCCCACAGCCCGTGAGGCAGCGGCACCACGACCCACCCGGTGGCTCCGTGGCTGGGAAAGCAGCCGGAGCAGAGCTCCAGAGAGCCAGGAGGGCTCAGGCCCTGCTCCTCAGCCCTCCCTTGTGCAGGGCCACACTCCCATGCCCTGCATCAGGCCCCGATGGCAGCACAGATCCTGGCACACAGCCACAGGCTAAGGGAGGATCCACAACTCTGGTAACCCCAACGACACGCAGGGATGTCACTAGGAGGACACGAATGTGTCCCCCTATCCAAGAAGCTGGTCCCCAGGACAGGGAACGGGGCTGGGGTGCCCGTACCCAGGCTGGGCCCCAAGCCACAGCCCAGTGTCACAGGAAGCATGAAGGACCCGGGACTCCCTCTTGGGCAAGTGTCCACACCAACCCACTGAGATTCCCCCCTTGCCCCAAAGTGGTGGCCCAGACGGAGCACAGAGAGCGGTACCAAGGGGCGCCCCTGGCACCCTCGAGCAGCCGCGTTACCTGAGGGAGCAGCGAGGAGGTTTCAGGGAGCACATAGACGGTCAGAGCGCCCAGCGGGGCGTCCTGCAGCTGGCGCAGGGCAGCATCAGCCTCTGCGCACGGGAGAGGCATCAGCGGGGCACGGAGACCCGCTTAGACGTCGATGCCCTGCGAGGGGACATTGCAGCGAGGGCTGCGCACAGGGCCGGGCTCCTCACCCTGCCCGTGCCACCAAGAGCGGCCCCTGCCACCCGTGACAGCATGGGGACAGATGTCCTCCCTCAGGAGGCCTGTAGGAAGTGCCACATACCCCCCAAAGCAGGGCACATCCCCCAGAATCCCTTCTTCTTTCTGCAACATCTAAGTACTTCCAGCAAAGCTTTCTCCATCTCAGAACCCCAGGCCACAGCCCAGTGTCACGGGAAGCATGAAGGACCTGGGACCCGGGACTCCCAAGTGTCCACACCAACCCACTGAGCTTCCCAACTCGCCCCAAAGTGGTGGCCCAGACGGAGCACAGAGAGCGGTACCAAGGGGCGCCCCTGGCACCCTCGAGCAGCCGCGTTACCTGAGGGAGCAGCGAGGAGGTTTCAGGGAGCACATAGACGGTCAGAGCGCCCAGCGGGGCGTCCTGCAGCTGGCGCAGGGCAGCATCAGCCTCTGCGCACGGGAGAGGCATCAGCGGGGCACGGAGACCCGCTCAGCACCCCCAGAAGGGGCCCGTGGGCCGGGTTGAGGCCCCGGGAGCGGCAGTTTGGCCTCGTGCTGGTACCTCGCAGCGTGGCTGCCTGCAGAGCCCCCTCCCCGCGAGCC